CATGCATTGTTTTTCTGTGAGATGTTTTGTTTGTTTGTGAGATGTTTTGTTTTTTTGTGAGATGTTTTGTTTTTTTGTGAGATGTTTTTTTTTTTTTGTTTGTGAGATGTGTTGTTTTTTGTGAGATGTGTTGTTTTTCTGTAAGATGTCTTGTTTTTGTGTGAGATGTCGTGTTTTTCTGTAATATGTGTTTCTTGTGCGCCGCCTTGTCTTTTCTTCGTGCGGCGTCATGGAGATTGACCGCGACCGCTTTCGCTCAGCTAAAAATATCCTCACTCTTTCTAACTTCCGCCCTCCAGCTCCATACCCCCTTCTCCCCCTCCCTCTCTTCCTTCTCGAGCCTCCTAGCCCCCTCTCCCTCCTCCCTTCCTCCTCCTCCGCCGATCCTTCGAACACTCGGGGCTCCGCCTCCTCCAACTCCCTCCACATCCTCCTTCCTCCCCCTCCCGCCCGCCCTCGCCTCTCCCCTCTCCTTCTCCCCCTCCCCCCCCTTGCAAGCCCAGGCATCCGACGTCTCGAGTTTTTTCCAGAGTTAACGGGATCCCGACGTGTTTCGCCCCGAGTTGTTTTTTGACGGTCCCGAGGCCCAGCGAGGCCCCCGAGCCGAAAACGACGAAAAAACCTCCATCTCGATTTTTTCGAGCTGGCCGATGTCGAAGGCGCGAAGATAATAGTGATCAAGCGCTCCGTTCCCCTTCGCGCTTACGCGCGAAGGGGAACGGCGCGCGCGACTTCGCCGCGCGCCTGCCGCGGGGCTCGAAGCCGCGGGGCCGCGCGGCCCCGCGGCAGCGCGCCCGCCGCGCGCGGCGCCGCATGCGGGCCTGCAGGCCCAGGGGAGATCGAATGGAGGAGGAGGAGGAGGAGGAGGAGGAGGAGGAGGAGATGGAGAAGGAGGAGGAGAAGGATGAGGAGGAAAAGGATGAAGGAGGAGCCCTCAGGAGGAGGAGGGAAGAATCGAACATATGGTTGAGGATCGGGCTCAGGGATCCCTGAGCCCGATCCTCAACTCAGGGATCCCTCAGCCCCATCCTCAACCATGCGATACCCTCGAGGGCATCGGCCCAGACCCGTTCGAGGCCGGATGAGGCGGAGGATGGGGAGGAGGAGGAGGAGGAGGAGGAGGAGGAGGAGGAGGAGGGGAAGGAGAAGGATCACTCGAATACATATAGGAGGATAGGAGGAGGAGGAGGAGGAGGAGGAGGAGGAGAGTAGGAGAAGGATGAGGAGAAGATGATGATGAATGATGAGATGATGGAGATGAGAGGAGAAGGAGGAGAGGAGGAGAGGGAGGAGGATGAGGAGGATTACGAGGAGGATAGGATGGGGAGGATGATGAGAGGAGGAGGGGAGGAGGGAAGTCCCTTTCCTCCTTCCCTCCTCCTCCTCCTCTTCCTTCTCCTCTTCCTCGGCTCGATCGATCGATCGATCCTCCTTCAGGGGCCTTCTTCAGGGGCCCCACTCCTTATTTTTCTTATCCTCCTCCTTCACCTCCTTCCTTCTCCTCCTGCTCTCCTCTTGCTCTCCTCCTCCTCAGCCTCATCGATCCTCCTCGTCATCGATCCGCCTTCTCCTCGATCCTCCTCCTCCTCCTCTTCCTCCTCCTGCTCCTCTTCCTCCCCCTCCTCCTCCTGCGCCCGATGCGCCTTGCCAGGCGATGGGCGCCAAGAGGATGCCGATGCGGGTCCCGACTGTGAAGCTCACGCCGCAGATCGAGAGCGCGGCTGCGGAGGCGAGCGGACCCTCGAATCTTTCAGAGTATACTCTGAAATATTCGAGCCTGCCCAACTCCTCCTCCTGAGGCCTCCTCCTCCTCCTCCACTTCCTTGATCCTCCTCCTCCTCCTCCTTGATCCTCCTCCTCCTCCTCGTCCTCCTCCTCCTCCTCCTTCTCCTCCTCCTCCTCCTCCTCCTCCTCCTCCTTCCTCCCCCTCGAGGAAGGGGGAATGAGGATCCCCAAAGCCCGATCCCCAACCAGTTTCGATCCCCCCTCCCCCCTCGAGGGGGGATCGAAACTGGTTGGGGATTCCCGCAGGCGCTGAAGACGGCCGTGGAGATCCACGACGTGGTGAGCATCGACGGCGCGGGGATGACGACGATCAGGGAGTGAGGGATCCAGGGGGGGAGGGATCAGGAAGGGAGGGGGGGGGATCCAGGGATCGATGGAGAGACCAAGGAAGTGGCGAGAGTGAGGGATCCGGGGAGGGAGGGATGAGGGAGGGAGGGAGGGAAGGAGGGATGGATATAATTGCACCGTTCTGCCTCGGGGTGGCCGCTGTCCTCCTCCATATCCTTCTCCTCCTCCTCCTCCCCCTCCTCATTATCCTCCTCATGATCCTCCTCCTCCTCCAGCTCCCCCTGATGCCCCTCTCCCCCTCCCACTTGCTAAGTGGTAGGACGATGCAACTGTCGACGGCGGCCGAAGCGTAGGATGAACGCGAGGATAACGAATGAGGACGATGAGGGCGATGAGGACGATTGCCATCGTCCTCATCGCCCTCACCGTCCTCGAGAGAGCTGCGCACGCCTGCATCGCTATCATCGGCCTCATCGTCAGCATCGCCCTCGAGAGCGATGATAACGATTGAGAACGATTGAGGACGATTGATTGATCGTTCTCGTTGCCCTCATCCATGAGGGCGATGGGGACGATCAAGGACGCTGGTGACGATGCGGACGATGATAACGAACACCAGAACGATGGTGACGAGGAAGACGATGGTGAAGGAAGATGCGTTAACGACCTCCCACTCTCCCTCACCCTCAGTTCTCCTCTTCCTCCTCCGCATCCTTCTCATCCTCATCCTCTATCCTCCTCCTCCTCCTCGTCCTCCTCCTCCCCCTCCTCCTCCTCTTCCTCCTCCCCCTCCTCCTCCTCCTCCTCCTCATGTTCCATCCCCCCCGATGAGGGTCAGGACGCGTCGGGGCTGGACGCGGGGAGGCCGAGGATCGATGCGACCCCCCCCACCCCCCGAGGCTATTCCATCCCCGACTTCTCCACGTACCCAGCGGCCAGCTCGGCCGACCGCATCTCGAGCGACGCGCTGCTGGTCAGCGGGCTGGATGGTCTAATACCCTCCACCCCCCTTGAAGGCACCAGGGGGTGGGGTCGGGCGGTCGAGGAGGATCGAGGAGGAGGAGGGTGGTAGGAGAAAGGGGATCGATGAGAGGGATCGAGGAAGGGTTGGGAGGGTGATCGAGGAGGATGAGGGGGCGGATCGAGGAGGGAGGAAGAGAAGGAGGGGGAGGAGGAGGAGGAGGAGGAGGAGGAGGAGGAGGAGGAGGAGGAGGAGGTAGATGAGGAGGAGGAGGTAGATGAGGAGGAGGAGGAGGAGGCGTAGGAGGAGGAGGAGGACGGACGGGTGGGGATAACCCCGTCGGATCCGACGAGGTTATCCCCCCTCCGATGGGATCGAAGGTGACTAACCTTCGAAGGTTAGCGACCTTCGATCCCATGCCATGCTGGTGTCTGGTCAAACATATGGATCTGGTTCGAGAAATCAGTTCTGGCTGGTTATTGGCCACAAGGTGGCCGTCTGGGAGGGGGCGGACGGGAGGGAAAGAGCAGTTGACCCGAGGTGTACCACACGATGTTCGCTGACCTCGACGCGTCGACGGGAGGCGAGCGCTTCAGCCAGTACAGCATGGAGGCACAATGAGGAGGAGAATGAGGACGATGAGGATCGAGGAGGGAGGAGGAGGAGGAGGAGGAGGAGGAGGAGGAGGGGGAGGAGGAGGAATCGGAGGGTCCGAGGAGTGATGGGAGAAAGAAGAGGCAGAGGAGGAGGAGGAGGAGGAGGAAGAGGAGGAGGAGGGGGGGGGAGGATGATGAGGAGGAGGGAAGGGCGGACGCGAAGGATGGAGGACCCTGCAGGGGAGGAGGAGCGGGAGGAGGACGGATGAGGAGGAGGAGGAGGAGGAAGAGAAGGAGGGAGGAGGGAGGAGGAGGAGCAAGAGGATCGAGATCGATGCCAACACTTCCTAGTGACCAGGGAAGGGCAGTGTAGGCACCAGGCGATCAAACGAGCGGATTCGACAACGGGAGGAGCAGGAGCAGGAGGTCATGACGATGAGGATCGGGAGGATGACCTCGACGACAACTACGATCGACGACCGATGACGACGATGGTGAGAGAGCTTCGGGGCGTACATCCAATGGCGCTCGATCGAGCGCCATTGGACGATGGCCGACTATCGTCATACGATCGGCTTGCGATCACCGACGTCGACGCGACCTCGCCACACGTGTCGTCCTCTCCCGTCCTCGCACTCTTGTACTCCTCCCCTCGCACTCGTCCTGTCGTCTTTCCGATTGCAGATTCGTCTTTGATCGTCGCAATCGCAACCGTCCGTCGTCCTCAATATCATCCTCCGCCTCCTTCGCCTCCGTCGCTCCATCCTCCTCATCGTTCTTCACCCTCCGCCATCTTCTCCCCCTCCTCCTCGTTCTCTTATCCCCCTCCTCATCGTTCTTCCCCCTCCTCAGAACGATGAATCGATCCCTTGTGAAGCGTCGCCGTTCGTTGTCTCCCCTGCCCTCGCCAAGCCAGGTTGTGTGGGCTGCTGCGTTCAAGGACACGATGGTCAAGCAGTACAGGGCGGTGAAGGGGCGTGCACCGCCGAGCAAGGTCATCACTGGCCATAGGCCAGCCTGCATGAGCATGAGAGGAGACAGGGACAGGACGTCGAGGATCGATCAGCGGGATTCGTCGATCGATCGCGGTCGGCCGCGCGATCTCGGATCGCCCACCGTGGCGATCGCGCCCATCGAGCATATGCTCGATGGGCGCGATCGCCATCGATCGATAGACCGATCAAATATCGTCCGATCTCGGTCGATCTGCCGCCATCGACGGTCGTCGAGTGCCGATCGCCGATCGTGTAAACGTCGCGATCGCACGCGTGTATCGATCGCACCTGCCGCTCAAG